CACTCAGCCCGGCGAAGGGCACCAGAGAAGTCCGTAGCGCACAATGAAATGCGAGGGGGCGCCAGACCCGCCCCCTCGCGCTCCCCCACCCGCCAAATCTTCGAGGGTGCCATGTGTGAGCTCCAGCCAAGATGCGCTCCGAGAGAGAGAGAGAGAGAGAGAGAGAGAGAGAGAGAGAGAGAGAGAGAGAGAGAGAGAGAGAGAGAGAGAGAGAGAGAGAAGTTAGTCCCCCCATGCGAAGGGGGGCGAAGGGGGGTAGATTGACAGCTGGTTGACGCCCGAAGATGATCCGCCACCAAGACCTTCCCCCCATGAGAAGGGGGGAGAGAGGGGGGTAGAAGAACCCTAAACCCTAAAGGGGTACTTTTGGGTGGGGGGGGGGAACGGGAACGAATAGCAGCCGACCCCCCCAACCTCTTGAAGGAGGGGGGGTCGAGCTGCTTCCGCCCAGCGAGGCCCTAAACCCTAAACCCTAAACCCTAAACCCTAAACCCTAAACCCTAAACCCTAAACCCTAAACCCTAAACCCTAAACCCTAAACCCTAAACCCTAAACCCTAAACCCTAAACCCTAAACCCTAAGCCCTAACCCTAAGCCCTAACCCTAAACCCTAAACCCTAAACCCTAAAAACCCTCAACCCTCAACCCTAAACCCTAAACCCTAAGCCCTAAGCCCTAACCCCTAACCCTAACCCTAAACCCTAAACCTCGCTCGCCTCGCTCGCACCGGACCCCTGCGGAAAGGGGGGGAGGGGGGGGGGGGGGTTCGAACCCCCCCCCCCTTCAAGGGGGGGAGGGGGGGGAGGGGTTCCGAACCCCCCCCCCCCCCCCCCTTTCAAAGGGGGGGGGGGAGGGGTTCGAACCCCCCCCCCCCCCCTTAAAGGGGGGGAGGGGGGGGAGGGGGGGGGAGAGGTTCCCTGGAGCACACCCCCCCTTTTGTGTCTTCAAGGTGATCCACTGGCGCTCTTTCGAAGAGACGGCCCACCAAACTCACGCCGTAGATCGTCGCGACTAGGCGCAGGAGGAAGAACCAGATCAGCCCGACCACCAGGCGGATCATGAGGAAGGTCCGCACCAAGCTCGCGGGGTGGACAGGGAAGCTCGCAAACATCATCAGGAGAAGCCTGACTAACAGCAGGCCAAGGGTCGGAAACCCCGTCTTCATGCCAAGGGCCACGCCCACGGCGATGCCGTCCACCAAGACCGTCATCTCCACCCGGATCTGTGCGAGGTCCATCTTAGCCCTCGTCGTCATCACCATCGTTATCGCCGGGCTGGCCATACACGGCACATCCAACCATATGCGGCGGCACGGTGAACACGAAGGTGCACTGTGATGCACCACTCGACTTTCGATGGCCATGATCTACGACAAGGTAGCCATCCAAGCTCTGGATTAGGTGGAGGATGAGCTGGCCAGCCGCGAGGTTCTGCATGCCTTCTCGAACCTCCTGCTCCAAGATGATGTGGATAACCAGATTGTTGACATGCGTGTTCAGCCTGAAACTGCACCGCCTGACAGCTGACGGCTGATCGTGCACCCGCGCCAGATGAGCCTCGGAGGTCACCAACCACGGGATGGCAGGCGCGGCCGCGCGGGAGAGGAAGAGGAGGAGGGGCCGCGCGCGCAACCCAGCGGCCCCTGGGACCAGCAGGCGCTAGAACCACAGTGCCGATGATGATGCTGATGCTGATGCTGCCCTCCCTGCCGGAGCCGAAACTATGTCGAACCTGTGCAACGAACCTCTCCCTGCGTGGCCGTGCTGCGGGTCCGTCGCAGCCCTGCCAGCGGCACAAGCGTGTCGGCCAGAGCCGTGTCGGCAGCGCGACGGCCCAGGCAGAGCAGCGCGACGTCCGCCTGCGCCACGGGCAGCGCTCGCTACAGCCTCCGGCATCATTGCCACATCAAGGCGCAAGGTCGCGCTGCCTTGATGGTGGCCACCTCTGCAACCACCATGCTAGAGAGGGTGTCCAACTGCTGGTGGAGGCGCCTGTACGATTCGTGGCACAGCGCGGCCACCCCTTCTCCGTACCGAGTGACATTGTCCCGGATACCGGAGCCCGCCGCCTTCGCTGAAACCGCGTGGGTGTGCACGCTCTTGGCCGCATGCGGGCTTCATATTCAGATCGTGGCGTCCCACCACCACGCACGGGTGGCCGTTGGCGCCCTGACGAGAACATCAAGAATGGCCTCCTCGTTCTTGGGCGTGGCCCTCTCTGCTGCGACTTCCTCAGCATTGAGGAGCTTATTCAGTTAGGGCACATGCGGCTCCTTGTCGATGTCGGCGCCTGCTTGGCGGGCGAGCTGCGCCAACTCGGTGATCATCGTGTGGTGAGGCTTCTGGCGCGCCAGCCCCTTCTTGCAATTGGCCACGTGGCCAGCTGCGCTGCCCACACCGCGCTCCGCAACGCTCGATGCGTCGCCACACTCGATCATGTGGCAAGTCGCCCCGGCTGGGTCTTAACGCTGAGCGCGACGTGCCTCGGTGGCAACCACGAACTGCGCATCTTGGATGAACTCGTCCTCCCTCTGGGCGATGGCGGTCCAAGTGGTGCCTGCACCAAAGCCTCCAGCTGTCATCATGATGCGCTGTTGCTCGTCGTTGCCGCAAGCCCAAACCCTGGTGACCTGCAGTGCCTCGAGGTGGCGCAGACGGTGCTGAGGATTTTCTTGCCGCGGGTGCTCCAGAGCTGGCCCAGCCATTGCTCCTCCTCTGTGGCGGACGCCCTGGGCAGAGCGTCCGCTGGCGTGTCCCCCGCCCACGTGCCCGCCTCGTATTCCTCCCGCAGCTGCCGGGAACAATTGGATGTCGGTGCCTGAGGGGACCTGCTTGGCATCTTCCGCCTGGGCGCGGAAATGCCCTGTGTCAACCGGGAGTCGAAGCTGAGAGGCTAGCAGGTCAACGCGCGGAGCCACCGACAGCGCTGCGGCCCATGCCGCGGCTGCGACTGCGCCCTCGGTGATGTTTCCCCGCATGCCGAGGCCCCCGTGCTGACCCGCATGCCGAGACCCCCGTGCTGACTGGCGAGTGGCAGCTGCTGTGGCGAGCGCTGCCTCGTGCAAGAGCCGCCCGAGTATGATCGCCTCCGGGCCTGCGGGTGGGGAAGCAGTCTCACATCGAAGTCGAGCGCCCTCGCAGTGGACTTCGCCACCAGCTGCATCGCCATATACTTGCAGCATCTGTGTGCGCTTCTGTGGGCAAAGAAGATTGGCTCAGCCATGGCATCCTGTGCTGTCTGGAGGCGCTTGCCAGTTGTCAATAGAGGTGATCTGGTCGCCAACAGAGACCACTTTGTTCGCCCTGGCGACGCCTCCAAGCAGAGTGAGGCCACCTCGGCATCGGTTAAGCTGCGCGATCCAGGATTTTCGTTTGGCGTGAGTTGCAGCCCAACGCTTCACGAATGTCGCCGCTGATGAGCCAAACAACCGACTTCTTAATGATGATGATGATGACGGTGAGGAGGATGAGGAGGATGGAGGAAGAAGAGGAAGAGGTGACCAGGGAGAGGGAGCATGGATTGTCGTGCTTCCAAAGAGGCAGATCCGAGACGAGACGGGTGTCACAAAAGTATGCAAAAAGGGTGACAGAGAGGTGAAGGATGGAGAAGAGGAGGAGGATAAGGACGAGCAGGAGGAGGAGGAAGGATGAGAGAGGGGGGGAAAAAGGGGGAAAGATGATGAGGAGGAATCTGTGTACCCAGGGGGGACGAGTCGTGCAACCACCGGATTGGCTACTCGATTGGCAGGCTAGGAGGGCTGAGTGCCTCGCCTGGAGTCTGAGACTATCATTACCGACGAGATGCCGTTGGTTCACCAACTCAACACGCAATGTTCGAAAGATACGGAGACTCAGAACTGTGAGCTCGTGGGTACGAAGTCTCGATATTCATGCTACGCTATAGTCGCATTCTGAGCCCAAGCCTGCGCGCACAAGCGCGTGACTCATAATCGAGTGCCGGCAATCTTCGCACCCGAATGTGCACGAGGGGAATTGACATGTGAACACGGTGAGATGTGATCAAACCGCCTGCTAGAATCTTTAAATGGGCTTACGCCAGCATGGGCGAAGAAACGGAGATAACAGACCTGAGCACATCCCATCTCGTTTTCATATCGATTTCGGTGTGGAAATCGGCGGGGGAAATTCAGGTCACAAAACTGCAATGGAGTAGAAGGTGGAGTTGGTCGGGGAAGAGCTGGGACAGCAGAGGGGCAGCGAAAAAAGGAAACTGTGCCTACCCCGCGGGAAACGCTGCAGAGACTCTGTACCCTGGTCTGGGGTGAATCCGCTGCATGGCGTCGGCGGCACGAGCCAACACCTCGGGCGCCATGACGTGGGGTGTCGGCCTGGGAAGCACCTCGGCCGTCTCGTGGCCTGCCTGCGCGCTCATGATATTCACCCGCCCCTCGCCGTTATCCCGCTAAGTGGACGTCCCCGAAATCTGGTGCCGCGAACAATTCGAAGCGCCCTGCTTGTCACCAATAGTGCTCCTCCAAAAACCGATTTTGAGCCCTGGGGCCATCCGCAAAACGATCCAGGGCGAAAGATCGGCCCCAGGGGAGGGGTTGTGGGGTCCAGGGGCCCGTGTCTCGGACAAAGGCGCACCTTCTCCGGGTCACTACGAGTGGTGAACTTCAATGCCCAAGGAATGCGCCCGTGTCTTCTTCAGCACTGGCACATCTCTCGGCCGATGCCTTCTCTCAAGTCCTGAGGCGCTCACCCCTTCCAACATCTGCTTCCAAACGCACAATTCCTAATCCGAATCGTGCTGCCGACTTATGGCTGCGAAGGCCCGTATTCGAGATACGTGATCTGGCGATGGTGCGCCTGCTCAAATGCCGCTCCCGTGTGCGGCGCTTATCCCCGAACAACTATTTGCAAACGAACCGCTCCAACTCCAAGCTGTTTTGCACTTCTGGTTGCGACGATCCGTGCTCGAGATGGCACACGATGTCAGTGGTGAGTGGTGCGCCTGCTTGCCTGCCGCTCCCGAAGCTCCTTCCGCGGGAAGTACGGGGCATTCAAGCTCTGCGCCAGTGTCCTCACACGCCGGAGATCGCACGAACATGATGAATACGATCTCAAGTAACACTTTTCCAAGGATCTTATGGGTGCTGATAACTGGAAGGATGCGTTCGATCGCGTGCTGGATCTACCACACGCGGGCAGCGCCGCGGGTCTCGAAATGTAAGCGTTGCGCAGTCAAGATGAATCCTCGCCGAGACTCTCCAAACCATTGTCGTTGTGGTGACCCCTCCAAAAGGGAGCAAAAGTGTTGGGTGTATACGATTCCCTCTTCCAAACAAGCAGTCATGAAGACGGTCCCAGACGGCCCGAATACCCCCTACACGGCCTCCAACAGTCCTCCAGCAGGCTCCAACGAAGTCACGACATGGCCCCGAGAGACCTCGGACTGGCACCACCAAGCCGCCACTAAGCCCTGCTGGGGAACTTGAACGCAACCCTCCTCTGTTAGGGCTGGCTGGTTGCTGGGGCAGACAGTCGTGGCATGCTGCGGCCCTCCTCGGGACCGAGGGAGCGACGGAGCACATGCCACCTACGCCTTTCAAGGGCCTGGGGAGGAGAGGCGTGGCACCCACTCTGTGGGCCTGCAGGCGACATCTAACACATGCTACGGCTTCCTTGATGCTGGGGAACCGAGCTTGTCGAAACGTGGCCACAGGAACGTGGGTCAAGCACATTAGCCTCTTCGCCAAGGGCCGAAGTACCCATGAGTATACCCGAGATGAAGAACATTCAAGGGAGGCTACCCAAACCCGTAGAAGATGAGGGTACCCCTTCTAAGCTAGGGTTGCTCTTCAGCCTCGTGCCAGTTGAACGACTGCTCTCCGAGACCTGGAAAAAAGATGTGCCTCATGTTACGGCCCGATGGATCGTGAAGAGAATATCGATTCAACCTAGAAGATACGGTTGTCATATCTTGCGTCTTTGTGGGTCCTGGGTCCTGGGGACGACAGCCTGGCCTTCCTATGGATGTAGGAACTCCAAGGTCATTTATTACAGCCCTGTTGGCCCTGAGGGAGACAATTTTCTTATGATACGACCTCCACCGGCCAAAATACGATAATGGCACGCGTGCTACTTTACAACGCTCTGACCGCTGGGGTCGATCCGCCGGCCCCCTTGTGGGGCCATCAGGCTGCGGGGCTGAGGCTTCCTCCAGTATTATGATTGTACTTTCTGCTTCCTACTGTAAATGGTTACTGTCCGCACGAGGGGGGGGGGAACCGAAAACCACCCTCCCGAGTCGCGTGCTCTAAGTTTCCGGTGGACCCTGGTACATATGAAGATACGTGAGATTCGCGACGTCAATCATCCTTCGTGAAGTACGCTAGATTCGCCCCCCGAGGCCAGAATCCTTTCTCAAATCATGCCAGGATCGCGCTCCCGAGGCCAGAACCCTGAACAAGTTACACCAAACTGGCACGCCCGGGGCCCGGATACTTTGTGGATTGCGCCAGATTCGCGCTCCCGAAGCCCAACCCCTTTGACACTTACATAAACATTCGCGCTTCCGAAGCCAGCTTCTCATGTAATTTATCAGGAGTTGGGGGGGGGATCGCGGAGAAACGGAGACCCCCAACGGGGGAATCGGTTTCGGTTTCGTGTTCGCGTCGTGCGTGCGGGCGAGGCGAAGCTGCGCGTGATCCTCCTGTAGCTAGGCCGAAGTAGGAGCGAAAGTCCATTCCCGTCCGCAGGTGGCTGGGAAGTGTCCCAGTTGGGCCGGGCGGTGTCCCGGGTGTCAGCAGGAGCGAAAGTCCGTTTCCCGTCCCCCGGTGGCCGGGAAATGTCCCAATTGGGCCGGGCGGTGTCCCGGGTGTCCCGGGTGTCCCAGGCGTCCTGGCGCTAACGCATGTCGCTGATTTCATGATTCATTTTTTCGGCGCCTGCGGCGGGCTTTATTTTCAAATCCAGCTTATCTTCTCCGATCCATCTTGTCCAATCCAATCAAAACCATCTTATCTTATCCAACTCATCTCGTCTCATCTTATCTTATCTCACCCAATCCAATCCACACAACCCAATCCATTCATTCATTTGTTTCTGCGCCTGCGGCGGGCCAATCCAATCCATCTTATCTTTTCCAATCCATCTTATCCTATCCAACCCACCCAACCCAATCCATCAATTCATTTGTTTCTGCGCCTGCGGGGGGCTTTCTTATCCAATCCAGCTCATCGTATCCAATCCGTTTTGTCCAATCCAATCCATTTTGTCTTATCCAGCCCATCTTATCCCATCCAATCCAATCCACCCAACCCAATCCATCAATTCATTTTTGTCGGCGCCTGCGGAGGGCTTTCTTATCCAATCCACCTTATCTTATCCAACCTACCTTGTCCCATCTTATCTTGTCCCACCCAATCCAATCCACCCAACTCAATCCATCAATTCATTTGTTTTTGCGCCTGCGGCGGGCCAATCCAATCCATCTTATCTTATCCAATCCACCTCTTCCAGTCCAACCCATCTTCGGAGGTTGGGGGGGACATCGCAGTGAAACGGAGACCCCCCGCCGGGAAATCGGTTTCGGTTTCGTGTTCGCGTCGTGCGTGCGGGCGAGGCGAAGCTGCGCGTGATCCTCCTGTAGCTAGGCCAAAATAAAAGCGAAAATCCATTCCGCGTCGGCCGGTGGCTGGGAGGTGTCCCAGTTGGGCCCGGCGGTGTTCGGGGTGTCCCGGGTGTCAGTAAGAGTGGAAGTCCGTTTCCCGTCCGCCGGTGGCCGGGAGGTGTCCCAGTTGGGCGGTGTCTCAGGTGTCCCGGGCGTCCCGCCGCTAACGCATGTCGCTAATTTCATAATTCATTTTTGTCGGCGCCTGCGGCGATCTTCCTTATCAAATCCAGCTCATCCTCTCCAGTTCATCATGTCCAATCCAATCCATCTTACCTTATCCAACCCATCTTGTCCCATCTTATCTTATCCCACCCAATCCAATCCACCCAACCCAATCCATCAATTCATTTGTTTCTGCGCCTGCGGCGGGCTTTCTTATCCAATCCATCTTATCTGATCCAATCCATTTCTTCCAATCCAATCCATCTTATCTGATACAATCCATCTTATCCCATCCAATCCAATCCACCCAACCCAATTCATCGATTCATTTTTGTCGGCACCTGCGGCGGGCTTTCTTATCCAATCCAGATTATCTTCTCCACTCCATCTTGTCCAATCCATCTTGTCCTATCTGATCTTATCCCACCCAATCCAATCCACCCAACCCAATCCATCAATTCATTTTTTCTGCGCCTGCGGCGGGCCAATCCAATCCATCTTATCTTATCCAATCCATCCCTTCCAATCCAACCCATCTTATCTTATCCAATCCATCTTATCCCATCCAATCCAATCCACCCAACCAGAGAGAGAGAGAGAGACAGAGAGAGAGAGAGGGCGAGAGAGAGAGAGACAGAGAGAGAGAGAGAGACAGAGAGAAAGAAAGAGAGAGAGAGAGAGATGATATCAAAGTGACAGGCTGGAGGTCAGTCAGGGTGGGCATTTGATCTCAATCCCCCCCAACCTCCTTATCGCCCGCAGGGCGGGCGTATGTACAAGATTGGCGCAATGTAGATTATGCCAAACTCGCGCTCTCGATGCCCAAATCCTTGGTAGCTCACCGCAGAATGTCAAAACAGCGCCGACACGTCCCGGCATAGCTCTGACATGGGGAGCAACGATCGGGGGGGACTGGCATAGGGAGGGGAACATCGGCGTGGAATCAGCGATACATCGCAGATAGATCGGCGATCGCAAATCCGCACGTTCCTGGGCGGGTGGGGCTATCAGACCCCTATCGGCGATCAGTAGGCGATTGGGGGTCGATGCATCCCTCCCTACGCTTATCCCCCCCTCACGTTGCCCTTGGTTTTCGGCTCTAAACTCGGCTCCACGGCGGCCGTTTGGGATGATTCCGGCAACCCCGGAACGCTCTCGGCGAGGCGGAGCTGCTGGAGAGCACCCCGAGGCTGGAAAGCTGCCGAGAACCTGCGAAAACGCCCGAAAACCTCGAACCTCGAAGCTTCACAGCCCCTACTCGCCCCTACCCTTGCCCCTGACTCAAGAAGCAGGTCTCGAGCTCCCAGCTCCGCATGTCTGCCCTGCCCTGGGCAGAGGGCTTATCCCCCCCCCTACCGTGCCCCCTGACGACATCTCTCGTTCTAATACGGGAGGGGACCAGCGGCACTGGCGAAGCTCTTGCGGACCTTTGTCGCGCGCGGGCCTTCGGCGGACCACCGAGGGAGCGAGCTGCTGCCACGGACTGCGCCTCGAGGCCCGGAGACAGTCCGCCACCGTGCCTTCCTGCAGCACGTCGTGGAGTGCTTCTACCCTGACCTTCCAGGAGGGCTGGAAAATAGCACCAGGACCTCGACGTCCGAATTCCTGTCGAGGCTTTGGGCCGTCCAGACATGCCTCCAGGCCTGAGGGCACTCTGGAAGGCCTACCCCCCTTCTGCGCATGGCCGAACGTCGGCGCCTCGCCCTGTGCGCCCGCCGCCTTCCAGCTGCAGTAGGAGCTCTACCGCAAGAAACCTCCCACAGGAAACCCAACCCTGAGACCCCAGGACGTCCACTGATTTTTGTTGTGGGAACGTCACGCCTTCCATCGCAAAACCGTCGAAACCCAAGAAACCTAGGGCACCCTTGAGGCAACCAGGGTGTTTCTTGGCATGGCTTCCACTGTACATATGCGAGTGCTCAAGGCGTTGTACGATTTGTCGGAGTTCCTGGGTGCTCCTGGGCGTTTCTTGCGTGGCCCACGTCGGCCTGGCCTCCTGAAGGCCACAAGTCTTGAAATTGTACGCTGTGCGGTCTGGCATCGCAATCGCAATCGCAAAATGCTGTCGATTACTAACGCGAGCTGTCAATCCTGGTGCTGTGAAAAAGTGTGCGCGCGTGCGTGTGTGTGTGTGTGGGGGGGTGAAGCAATGTGTGAAGACATATCGAAGTACAGGGGCGTTTTGCGGGTGCGGAACATGAAATCCGACCGGCGCCAATTCCTCCAACAAACGTCCATGATACATTTCAACGTGTGGCCGAGACACTTTTTCAATTGTGTCTTCGCCGTCTGCGCAAGACTGGCCCGACATCTGAGACGCTTCGTTTTGAACGTGCGCGCGATGTGGGCGCGCCAGACCAATACTAACGCCCGCAACAACGCCTCATGACTCAATCTTACTGTGCTAAGCCCGCTTGGCGAATACACCATGCTCCACCAACTTGTTGCCGGCGTGGTGAACTCAACCACTGTACCTCACCTGCAATATCCACGCGCGGGACTCCTTTCGCACGCTCAGTCAGCGACTAATCCTCCATAATCTGGAGACGGCTATGGCGACCACTGCTGGCTACGATTACGATGCCCTGAACAGGGCAAGTTTCCAGCAATGCTTGGGTGAACGCCCAGCTGCAATCCACCCGAGGCCTCGGTGCCGACGTAAGCTTGCCGAGAGGCCTAGCCAGGCCTAAAAGACCTCAACAAACCTATACCTGAACCCAAACGGACACGGAAAAGAGCGAGCGAGACCAGCAGCCAAAGCAAGCCTACTAGCAGGCTCGGTGCATAACTGCCCACATGTCCGCCCCGAACATGGGGCGGACAAATCCTGCCCCCCCTCGCAACATCAACATCAAGTGGTTGCGTTTGAAACGGGATTTGTTCCTCACCACCAGCCCCCACGCAAACGCTGGGACTTGACAGCAGGGCACGCGCGCACAGCAGGTGAATACAAGCGCGTGCGAGCTGAGCTGAGGTGCAACTGGGCACAACGGGCTGCGCTACGCTACAATTTGCGCCTGCTGCTGTCGGAGCCAACCCAGAAAACGACAATTCAAAATCTGCTCCGGGACCCCTCCCAACGTCCAGTCGCACCAATTTTATGGGCTGCGTCCAGCCGTGGCGACGAGGAAGCCCCCCGAAAACCAACTTTTTTTTTGCAGCAGCGCCACGGCCTCTGTGCGCAGTATCTGCTCGACCAGCCCAGAGGCGCAACTGGTACGGCACTGAACCTGTACCTTATAACAGCGGGATGAATTCGTCGATATCGACGTAAACACCCTTCTTATCAGGATGCAGGCCTTTTACGGAGCTTACGCATGTTCTTCATGCCAGACTCCGTAGGAGACGCGCACTTACGCCCGAGGCCTAACACAACTCCACCGCTGCTATAAAACTTGCACGACGTGCAAAGGAACAGGTTAGAATTATCAGCGCATGGGAACGCAATCGCACGATGCCCGAGACGCTCCAAAACACACCTGTCAAGCCTGCTGCGGCCCGCACACTCCGATCCGCCACTCGGCTTGGATAACGCTCTGGAGCCTCTCAAACAAACGCGGCACCTCCAAAAACTTCCTTGGCGTTCCCAATCGTGCTCAAGCACGAGCTGAAGAGGACGCGGTGGCTTCGGCGGCTGGACTCGCTCTAAGCCACGGAACTCGACTTTGGGCCAGAGCGGGAGCAACGCTGCTCCGCCCAACAAAACTGCCCTCGCAATCTTTAAAGTGCGACTTAAATCTTCAGCCTCCGTCGGCGTCATAGTCGGATGGCGCTTCGCACCGTCCTTCGCCGCATCGTCGGCATACGCATTTCCCAACCTCCGAAAGCGCTCCTCCGCCGACAAACCCTCCTCCTCCACATCTTTGTGGGCAGCCACTTTGTGGAAGCCCTCGCAGAAGCGGCCAAAATGGTGGCGAGCTTGTATGACGAAGCCAGCATACTGACGGGCTGGGCCTATCGCATCGGCGCCGCCAAGATTCTGCAGCAGCACCACATTAGCACAATCTGAGTAACACTGAGCTGGGCCCTCCGTGTCTCAACTCATCCTCCTCTGATGCCCCTCGCCGACGACCCCAGCCGGAAAGAGAAAGCGGGGTCCTCCTTGGCTCCAGACTGGGCAGCGGCAACAAGGCGGCATGACTCAACCTTTTACTGTGCTGAGCCCGCCTGGCGAACATACTGCGCTCCTGTCTGCTTATCCCGTCGACGCATGGGGACGGGAATTGTCGCCCGGCTGGTAACGCAGGGGCAATCAGCGAGGGGTGAAGGCAGGAGCACGCTTGGGGCCGCAAAGGGCCCCTTTAGGGCTCCATTACTGCAGTCCTCGATTCTTTTACGTTTATTTCGGCTAAGAGTGATCTCTGGTGCGCGGCTTGTGGTCGTTGCGTGCGGTGCGACGATGGCGGCCTGCGTGCTTGGACTTGGCCCTGAAGCGCTCCCCCAAGACAGTGCACCAACGGTTACTCTGGCGAGGGGTCACTCTTACGTGCAGCCGACCATTGCCCGTACGTTGCCGACCGCCCGAAAGAGAGAGAGCGTGGGGAAACCAAAAGGTACCGACAACGCTACTCCTCAGGCCTCTCCAGGGGTGCGTTCTGACCAGCATTTCGAGGAATCCAGCGGTGGAGACGAGGGCCTCCCGGGAGGCCCCCCAAAAGGGGAAAACGGGCGAAGGGTAGCGGTATGGGCACCTTCCTCCTCTGAGAAAGAGGGCGCGGGCTCCTCCGGCGCTCCGGATTGGGCACGAGCAGCCAGGCGCACAGCAGGGCCTCGAAGCGGCCCTCTCCCGCCCACGCGGGTGGCCTGCGGGCGGCGTGGCCGTTCGTGCGGCCTCCCGCCCAACGGCGCACCACTCCTGCTCCTCCTCCTGCTCCTGCTGCCCCCCCTCCTCACTCGCCCTCCTTTTTCCCCCCCCCCCCCCCTCTCTCTCTCGTTCTCTTTCTCTCTCGATTTTTTCTTGAGGAGGAGGAGGAGGGGCGACCACAAAACTCCACCCGACTCAGCCTCGACCGCTGTGCGAATTAAAAGGTCACCAGGCAAACCGGGAGCACCACACGAGCCGACCTGCGATAGGCAAGCACCTGGGCTGAACCGTGGCCTCAAGGATGGAAGAGCGTAAAACCATTCCCCAAACAGTGCTTGCATTTAGGGTTTCTCCCTCTCCTCTGAGGAACTGGGCCTGTCTGTCGGTCTGGCGGCTATGCTGCCGCCGCCGCCGCCGCCGCCCCGTCGCCGCCCGTCGTCTGGGCATGTCTGTCGGTCTGACGGCTATGCTGCCGCCGTCGCCCCCCCGTCTCCGCCCCGTCGCCGCCCGTCGTCTTAGCCTGTCCGTCGGTCTGGCGGCTATGTTGCCGCCGTCGCCGCCACGTCGCCGCTCCATGGCCGCCCCAGATTGTACAACATATATTCTCTTTTCTGTAAGAGAAAATTCGGTTCTACCCCCTATCACCCCCTCGGATTTATCATTCCCCCCTCGCTCGCCGCCGAACCGAACTCGAGCTGTGAGCCGCGCGCGTCGCAGACGAGCCTGTCAAACTCCGCAGTGATGGCCTGTGCTTGTGCCGCGTCGTGGCGGCTGCGGCCCCCCGGCCTGCCGAGCGGGACTCTCCGTCGTTGAAAAAGTCCAGACCCTCATCGCTGCTAAGATCAGGACTTGCGTTGTCGCCGTGGTCAGGGGCTGTGGCGACGCAGAGAATTATCCGAGCGCCCAGAGAGTTATCCGAGCGTGAAAGACTTGAAGCACTTCGTGAAGTACCCTGGTGGAGCAGTTCACGTTTACGATGAGGAGGGTCCGCCGCCAGACTATGGAAGTCGGAACGAGGACGAGGATGGCGCCCCATGATCGTTGTATGCCACTGCTTGGCTGATGACGGCTCGGTCGTGGAAGGCAGCGGACACTGTGACCTTCTCCAGAATTGCATACACCTCCTCCTCCTCCTCCTCCTCCTCTTCCTTTCCTCCTCCTCCTTCCCTTCCTCCTCCCCTCCTCCTCGTTTCCTCTCCTCCTCTTCTTCGTCGTCCTCCTCCTCCTCCTCCTCTCCTCCTCCTCCTCCTCCTCGTCCTCGTCCTCCTCCTCCTCCTCCTCCTCCTCCTCCTCGTCCTCGTCCTCTCCTCCTCCTCCTCCTCCTCCGCCTCCTCCTCCTAACGGCCGTGCCTGACGCCGTGACCAAACCAAGCAGCACGTTGGAGGGGTTCGTGAGGGCCGCGTGCCGCAGTCGGCCACACGGGGACTGGCCGAGAACCTCGGTCTCAATGCACCGCGCTTCCAGGTGACGGCTGCCCCTGCAAATGGGCACGTGGCTGCCGACGTTGGCGAGCCAGTTGCCCGTCCGTCTGCTGACGATGTACCCGGCGTAGTTCGAAGCTTGGAGGGAAACATCGCGATACAGTACCCGACTCGCGTGGGCGGCAAGAAGAAACTGCTGCGGGTCATGAGATACCTCTGCAGCAACACCTTGCCCTCCTACCAAATGAACCACGTGCAACTGCTCGTGATCTTGCTCGTCTTGGATGAGGAACACGGGGGGGGCCCCAAGAAACACATCTTCCGCAACACGGATGGCGCGTGGGATCAGATAGAGTACTTGGTGACCCTGCCGTGGGACATGCTGACAACGCTGGAGACCGGGCGTGCTCCTTCATTCCGTCTGCGAAGTCTATGCAGAGCTCGCCCAGCTGAAGCACTGCGTCGCCGAGAAATGGCACGCCACCAACCACGTCGACGCTTGCCCGTGCAACCCGCACACGGCCTCGCGCCTCGGCAGGAGGGTCAAGAGTGTGAGCACCCTTGCTTGCGAGCAGGTCTACTCCTGGTTCAGGGGGTACGCTCGCGAGTTCCACGAGCTCTCCCCGATCCGCCACTGTTTCCTGGTGTTGCACTGTGTCAGGAAGCACAACCACCACCATGCGCAGGGCAACGCCGACTACTTGCCCGACGCGGGGCCTGTGCGGGCCATTGAGTACAGGCAGGGGGGACACGACGCCTGCGCGTGAAAGCAGGGGGGAGACGCCCACGCGCCGCGTTTCAGCTGGCAGGCCACACGTTGCGGATTGGACAGGTGGCGCTCTGCTCGCCGCGACCACGCGGCCGCCGAGGAGAAACACGTGACGGCGGGCAAGGGGCATGGAGCGGAGGAGCGGGCGAAGGAGGTGGAGAGGCGGCGCGGGCCTGTGCAGGCCACCCCTTCGAGGCGCCATTGGACGTGGAGGGGGAGAGGTGGTGGAGGCAACAAGGGAGCGGGAGGTGTGGGGGGGGAGGGGGGAACAAACAAAAATCTGCCAGAAGGGGGGTATCGCTTTTGCGCCCCGCGGCCACCCCCAGGCGCCGCCGCGGGCGGCAGGGGGGGGCGTCATTGCCTGAGTGTTCGGTTGGCGCTCTCTGTCGCTACCCCTCTCGCCCTTCCTTCACAACTGCACAATCTGACTACTACTCTCCTCTCTTCCCTGGTGGCGTCTGGGGAATGTCCAACCCCACTCCGCGTACGGGTTTCTTACACACAGGATTCCCGGGAGTTGGGTTTTCGCTAGTTTTTTTTACGCTTTTTGTATTTTGTTTGCAAAATGCTGCTCTCGCTGGCGCGCTGGCCTCATTTTCGGGCTACCGCTCGTTCCGAATCGTGCTCCCGCTGCAGCGCTGGCCTCATTTCCGCGCTTCCGCTCGTTTCGAAGCGTGCTCCCGCTGCAGCGCTGGCATCATTATTTCGAGTGCCATGCCCCAGCATGGGTTTCGGTCCTGCCAATCTTCGCGGGGGCTAGATCGGGCCACTGGGGTCCATCGCCCTTGGCCCCCTCCTTGGCCTCGTCCTCGGGGGCCGAGGCGGGAGGCCACGATGGAGGGGAGACTAAGGCTGTGGGATGGAGGAGAAAACGATGGGTTCCCAGGGAGCGTAGACCATGGGAGCCTCACTCCCAGCCCCGACTGGGGCCTGGGCAGCGAGGAGGAGGAGAAGTCCCCAATAAGCGCAGACCCTGTGAAGGACCTGCGCGGGGACACTGGGCCCGGACAGGCCTGCTGCCCCATGTGTTGCGCTCTCCTTCTCTCGCTCTCCCCCTCGAATGTCTCACTCTCGCTCTCCCTCTCGACTCTCGACTCTCTCTCTCTCTCTCTCCATCTCGCCCTCCTCCTCTCCCCCGCTCACGCTGCAGCGCGCACCCGCGGAAGCCCATCGTGCCGCGCGGGGGCTCCCAGACCGCCGCCCCCCCCCCGAACCCCCCGCTGGAGACCAGCAGTGCCGCGGCCGAGCGGAGGGCCCTCGGGGCGCGCGCGCGCGCACCGGCCTCGGGAGCGGCGCGGCCTGGACGGCCCCGAGCCACCGCAGGAAGCGAGCGCTGCCTCGGCGGGCGCCTCGTCGTCGCCGTCGTCGTCCTCCGCGGCTCGTCGTCGCCGTCGCCGTCGTCCTCGCTCCTCCCCTCCCTCCTCCCGCCTCCCTTCCTCTTCCTTATGAAGAACCCCTCCCTGTCGCACCCCGAGGCCAGTCGAAGGGCGGGCCGGGCGTTTCGCTGGAGACTTCCCCACCATGTATGAGCCTGATGCTTACAAGTTGACAACAGCTTCACAGATGGAGGGCGGGCCGCTTTCAACATGTGGCTCTCGCCTTTGCGCCGCCCGCATTCGTTTTCAAATTTTGCAAGACTTCTACGGATTGAAAACGCATGGTTTTCAACTTGTGGCTCTCGGTTTACCGCCGCGCACATTCCTTTCGCAAATTAGCAACCGTTTCACTGATTGAGGGCGATTCGTTTTCAAAATGTGGCTCTCGCCTTTGCGCCGCGCACATTTGTTCAAACGAATGCAAGATTTCCACGGATTGAGAACAGGTTGTTTTCAACATGTGGCTCTCGCCTTTGCGCCGCGCACATTCGCTTTGCAAATTTGCCAGACTTTCACGGATAGAGGGCGGTTCGCTTTCAAAATGTGGCTCTCGCTTGAGCGCCGCGCACATTTGTTTGAGCAAATTGTCGGATTTTCGATGGTTCTCATGGTTCACATTCCAGAACTGGTGTTTTGGAGCGGTTCAGGACTGTCAGGGCGCAGCGGTTACGCTGATTCGCGGTCTGGAAGTCCCAGGAATGGTGTTCTGGTACGATTGAGGATCGTGGACACGCAACAATCAGGTTGACTCGCGGCGTTGAATTCAGGAGTATGGTATTTTGGCACGCGTCGAGATTTTCACACAGATGCCCCACAACGGCGTACCTCCCTCAGTGGAACTGAGCCCTTTTAGGGGCCTGCGAAGAGGGAGCTTTGAGGGTGTATTCTAAAATCGTTAATGAGTTTTGGGTTTGAACTGGTCCTCCTCCTCCTCCTCCTCTTTCCTCTCTTCATCCCTCGTCCTCCCTCCTCTCTCTCCCTCCCTCCCTCTCTCTTCCGTCCTCCCTCCCTCCTCCTCCACCTCCTCTTCCGTCATCCTTCCTCCTCCCTCCCTCTCTCCCTCCCTCCCTCCTCCTCCTCCTCCCCGCACCCTTCTCCTCCTTCTCCTCCTCCTTCCCTCACTTCCTCCCTCCCTTCCCCACCCTCCTCCCTCCTCCCTCCTCCCTCCTCGCTCCTCCGTCCTCCTTCCTCGCTCCTCGCTCCTCGCCCCTCGCTCCTCCTGCATCCTCCACCCTCAGCCCTCCACCCTCCGTCAGGTTTCTGGCATCTGTACACACGGAGTTCCATCTCCCTGCCATTTGCGAACTGTTACAGCACATTGATGGCAGCATCTGCTTCTCCTTGACGCCGCCAGAAAGAGTCCGAGGCTTGGATCTGTCGCATCTGCGCCCGCATGACTACGGAGTTGCCGTGGCTGAACTAAGCTGGGCGCCTCTAGTGTAAGCAGTGCAGCCTACACAAGTCAGTGTGCTTCAGGTAAAACAGACGCCAGCCGACTCCAAGCACGTCCACGAAGTCCAAGGACCTCCAGGCCAAGTGTGCGGAGCTCGAGGCAAAGCTCAGGGCGTTGCAGCAAACGCCTCCTCGTCATCCTTCTGGGGCATGGGGCGGACACGCTGCGCCGCCTTGGGCTGGGAAAGAGGACAAGTCTTGTGCCAAACGATCATGGATCAAGTGCCTGAATGCCTTGCTCAAGCAACTGTCCGAGGGGTGCAGCGGCGCAGATGCCGATTTTATTGCCAGGCACCGCGAGGAGCGGAGCCAACTTGAGACGACGCTGTTCGCTGACAGACCAGATCGAAGACTAAAACGGGAGCCTGGCTGGCAAGCACAACTGGAGAAGACCCGAGATTAGCAGAAAGACAAGATCCGGGCGCTGCAGCACACGCTCGGGGAGACGGATGCAAAGCTGGACGCTACCAAGCAAGAGGTCCAACGGCTGGAGGAGGAGACGCGGGCTGCGATGCCCAAGGCGCAACCCCCATCCAGCACGTGGCCCTCATCCCCCCGGCAGGCGCCACCAGAGCTGTCGGTGTCAGTCGACCAGTTTGGCCGGGTGGCTGCAAGGCTAAGTGTTTCAGGTGGGATGCTCCAGGATTTGCTAGGCATGGCGGCGACGCTGCGTAAGCTCCAGGACCACGCAGCCAGTGTCCCCGAGCGACCTGCTCAACAGGAGGTCCCTCCACCTGCGGTGCCTCAGCCTGATCCCAGCGCTGCTGCAACTGCAGCGGGCATTCCTGCTGAGACTGACGATGATCTGATATGGTTGTGGATGAGATGGGAGAGGCTGACCTCAGGGCGACTTTTGAGGCGGCGGGGCTCGGTGCCGAGGAGACCGACGACGCCGCGGCCATCGGCGAGAAGGTTAAGCGATTTCAGTCCACGTGCAACGGCATGAGCAAGATCGCCCGCAGGGGTCACGCTGTGTAACTGCTTTTTGTGGTGTTTGGTGTTTGCTGTTATCATCGGCGTCATGACGAGTCCATGCACGAGTGCGGTGCCTTCCTTGCGAGAGGGAGGATACTTGCACGGTGGGCAAGCCGAATCAGGAGTGGGTTGGTCTGATTCAGGCGCGGCTGCCTCGTCTTCGACGGCGCCATCGACAGCGCCCGTGGCCTGGGAAGTGCATTCCCCGGGAGGGCGCGGGTTGCCCCACCCTTCGGGTGAGTTGACGACGCCGCGGACCTACCTTGACCCTGAGAAGGCTGCCAGCACCAGCAAGGAACCCACCCTCATCGTGGATGGACCCCCTCGTGATGTCGGCTGGAGGGGATAGGTGAGTACTCTTTGTAGTGAGTCAGACGCTCAGGGCACCAATATAATTGCCCCAGTCTCTTTGGATGGAAATATGTAGTGGGCTACTTCGGAGGCTGCTCCGTTTCCTTCGAGTCCCGCGTCGACAGCGCCTGTGGCCGGGGATGCGCATTCCCCAGAAAAGGCGCTGCTTATCCCACCATTCGGGTGAGTTGACGAAGGTCCAACCTGCCCTGACCCAGAGTTGGCTGCCAGCCCTTGGAAGGAACCCACCTCATCAGAGGATCCCTGGGGAGGTCGGCTGGAAGGAAGGGGTGAGTTCCCGTAATAGTGATTCAGACATTGGGGGTATCCGCCCCAATCTCAATGAGGTCCCCGTCGGTAGGCGCTGTGTCGTCCAAGGCTGGAGCCATCACGACTGTCACTGCAGATTCCTATGGGCCATTGTGTGGTGACTGCCTGGCTGAATAGTCTGGGGCGGTGCTTCTGGGTCGGGAGACTTGCGTTGTGGAAAGCCGCTCTGGTCAATTTCGAAATCGGGCGAGAGATGCTGGATGGCAAGGGCTCCCGGCCCCAGCTCAAGGGACATGCACTGGGGTGACGGCGACACACACGTGGCTTGGCTGTCTTGACGCGCGCAAGCATCACGAACACTGCATCACCTGATGGGGATCGCCTACCCAGATCGGGCTGTCTGTGCTCATGTCCAAGGGGGCGTTCCTGGTGGAGTGGTGATTGCTAGCGTGTTGGTAACATCGATCTGCATGACTAGAGAACATGTTTCGATCGTGTGGGCACTGGCGCAAAACAAGTTGCTGCACAGAATACGCTAGGAGTTGACTGGATTGTAGGAGGTGGCTGAAACACACATTGTGATGCGATCAACACCAGAGGCTGGGTGACCAAGTTCGCTGGGATCCCATGTGCCCAGTGAGCACACGTGCATTACAGTCTCAGGGTCGTCCAAGATCAAGTTCTTTCTTGTGGCGAGCAACCTGGTCACCCGCTTCGGTCGAAGTGCGGAGGTGCTCACTGCAGCTTCGTCGGTTTTCACCACTGCGTTTCCCTGTGCAGCTAGTGCGTCGTGGGCATGACCGCCTGGTATGGTGCAGCGTGTCCGATGGGCCCAGGGGCTTCGCGGCTTTGCTGCCTGCTTGGCGTGCGAGATGTCCATGTCCATGGCATCGGTCCGGCACCTGTTAACAAAACTTGGCCTCACGGAGTGGTCTTGCAAATGTGTGGGATGCTGCGTTGGATGGTACGGACTTTGAGTTTGCTGGACGGTTCGATCAAGTGGGCACAGCAGCCCGGAGTTTAGTTGGCAGCGGATGGAGTGGGATCCCCCTCGCAAGAGACGCCATCGAGATGCCCCTGTTGCGGCGTGGACCGCCGCGCAAAGGTGGGTGATGCAGATGCGTGCCGAGGAAGAGAGGCCTCTCAGATATTGCGAGCGGCTCCACCTGTGTCATGCAATGTGCAGCTTTTCGCAGATAGAGTATTGCTCGGTGCTGCAGGCCTTCGATCAAGTTGGACGCTGCCATCGTAAAACTGCTAATGAGGTTGCTACACTCGCACACCTAGATGATGAGTTCCAGGAGTTCTTCAAGGGCGGTATCACTGAGCTGGTTAACCCTGTCTTTGAGAATCTTGTGAGTGCGATCGCTGCTAAGGCTGACCAGAAATTTAGCAAATCCCTCGAGAGGCTTTCCGGCGAGAGTGGGCTCGCGAGGCTTTCTGGCGCGATGCCAACAAAACACATGCTGTGTCTAAGGTCCGAGCGTAGGTTGAGATCCGTAAGTGCGGAGCCGACTCGCAGCCGTTCCAGTTGGCAGACGAGACGATGCATACTTGGGTCAGCGTCTGTGAGCACCACGAGCTTGGCGCGCTCCAACTACCAAAGGACTCGAGGTCGTGGCCGGCCTTGTCACACATCGGGATCAGCCACTTGCGGGATGTGGTGCGCAGCTTTTCTGATAGTACTGCTGCGGGGCCCACTCGATTGTCCCCAAGGTGCCTCGATGTTTTGTCATACTAGGCCTTGCAAACGCTAGCAAACATGTTCATGCTGTTGGAAGAATGGCTGGCGTGGCCGAGCGATCGCATTTACAGCGAACTTGTGCGTCTCCGCGAGCCAGGCAAAGACACCAAACTCAACGTGCAACAGTCTCATGCATACATGGGGTAAGCTCCGTCGTCCAGTGTCGAGT